TGACCCAATAGAAGTTTCTGCGGATACCTCCTTGTCATTACCAGAAACACAAACACTATCCCTTTCATCAACAGGTCAAACAGCATCAACAATATTCTCTGCAAACTTTCCAAGTCAATTACGCCACAGATATCGTGAACTACAAGGAATAAGTAGATTTTTACGCTTAGACTGGAACTCCTTTGTAGCATCCCTTCCACTTTTCAGCCAACACTTCGACGGTAGTCGATTCCATAATTGGGCACTAAACAGTCTACAATATAGACACAATATTCACAAAGACAATCAGGAACATAATATTCTGATACTTTCACAGCAAAACATAACTCTCAAGTCTGAAATAACAGTGAATTTAAACGAGCTAAAATTACATCACCCATTACCATTTTCACCATTAGATATCACCACTCAATCCGTACCCCCTCCAAAACAGAACTCAGATATAAATACGACAGATGTACAAAGGCCATATAACTTTTCATAACCCTTTTTCAGGACTCTAGTACAGATTTATCTTTAAACTATTTTCTCAATCATATTCCTTTCTCTTTTAGTAAAAAATGAACCCAAAAATCATAAAAACTCTTCTCCCCAAACAGGACTACAAGACCTCCTTGTTCATATTATGATTGTGAAGATCACCACCAAAAAACATTACACAAATATGCAAATACTTAAGTCACACAATGTGAATCTGAAACACAAAAAAATGAACTAGCAATTGTAGTCGCCACACTTTACTCCGGAGTCCTAGCTACAACTCTAACAAGTTATAGTTTTAGAGTAAAATTCTCTGGGACGAAAGTACACTGTTCACAAGTATTAAATGCAAACTAGAATAGACGCGATAACGAATACTTTCAACAAAGTAACATAGAATACTATACTTGACCTACAAGATTGTAAAAACGAACTCAAACATTTAAAAATAGTACAAATGAAGACAAAAATGCTGAACTATTAGGTTTTCAAGTCTTTCCATACTCTGGACATCAAGCACAACTTGAACACCACCAAGGCAAAATCCAACTAGACGACAGATTCCCTTATTATGGTGCACATCATGGACGTTTAACTTATGACATTTGTGATAAAAACTCGATACCTCACATGGAATAAATAACTCATTAAACTATAAACAGACACCAAAAATCAAGATACAACGTTTAATGTGTTTCGATTACAACTGGAAAACTAATACGATATTTATAAGATGATACTTAATGAAGAAATTCGCTTACCTTTTAAAAATAATCGAGGATATTGCGACCCCACAATTACAAGCAGCCATTATTTAGTTCCCCGAAGACAAATGTGCCACATTTCAAGTCACTAATTTTCACGCAAGATTGACAAAGTTTAACAAAAACAGATCTATACCCTTTGATAAAATGAATTTTGGCTGAACAACGTCATCCCTAATCAATCCCAAAATCAAAATAAAAATATGCACGGTATAGAAAAAAATTTTTTATGTTGTCAGTTCTAACCTGAAACTGAGCAAGCATGCAAATACTCAAAAAACCACTTTTTCGATCCCAAGATTCAGAAAACCTTGTCGAATACGAACAAGGTTTCGACATGAAAATAGGTAAATTAATCCTTGATACGGCCGAACCGAATCGAAATAGTGATGACAAAAAGACTTACGTTGAAGTAAATAATCTTCCAGAAAACCAGGATGGTACCAGGTTAAAAGAACTATCACTAATGAATAACACATATTTTGGCGCAATTCAGTATGACATTTTTCTCGATGTGAAACTAAATTACACAATTAGCAGAGTTTTTCAACAAATGTCGTTTTCAGAATTAGAAGCACTACATCATTTATGTGAACTAGAACGATTACAAATCATACAACATTTTGCTTCAGCAAAACTCAAAACACCTTATGCCGGATACCTCTTAGCAGGCAACCGCTCCAACTTCATTGAGTATGAAGGAAACATTTTTCGGGACTGCACTTGCACTGAAAAAAAAAGTCTCACCACTTTGTTTTTTGAAGACAAATTTTCGGGATACAGCTGTACTCTATGGATCTGAAAACAGGCATAATGTAGTAAAGCTGAAACCATACGAAGATAAATATTATCTTCTCACTCCAAACTCTACATTAATGCCACCTGTAATGAAGTTCTCACCTAAAAGCATACGCGTAATCGCTCGCAACCCAAATAGAGACCTATCATCTATAGACATAAACTCCAAATCAGATATAAACGGTCACATTCGAACACAACAATTTAAGATTTTCTCACTGAAATGGATACAATCCAAAGAGAATCAATTGATTGAAACCTCCGCAAACTAGCTGAAACAGCTCCGCAAATTACTCTCTAGCTGAAAATTCAGCTCTAGCTGAAACTCGACAAGTTTTACAGACATCAACCAGCAAGACTACAGTGGGTAATTTAAGGACAATAAAAATTATGTATAACTCAATGGAGAAAAATATCGCCCACAAGATATTTCACGAATCAGTTTTTTTTTAGTTTCTTGCAAATCAAAAACGAAATCCTATCCTTTATAGGTTGGCACTACTATATCTTAGAAAGATTGACTATATAACAGGCAATGTTTAATTTTAAAGGATTTCTCTTCTCACTACTAAAAGGAACCAATAATACATGCGCAATACACGCATATGTCAGTAGACAAGCTAGCGCAGCACGAATTTTATTCGCAGGATTTTTTGGATAATTTTCCACTTCCATTAACAAAATTCTTCATGACGTTCAAATTAGCGAATACACGCAAAAATTATCTGCAAAACCAAACACATACGATACTCCACAAGATAAGAGACAATTACTGCACCTACAGCACCGACATAGTTACACAGTTTACAAAACAATCACTCTCCATCACTAATCCCACAAAGCTATTGAAATATACATTTGACCATCGAACGAATGTTACATAATAGTAACATACAACGTAGCCCTATTTCTCATATAGCACTTCAACAACCCACTATCGACAATACATACGAACAGATTGTAAAACAACCGCACACCTTATAATTTTGTTCTCAAAACAATAAATTTTTTAGCCCACAAGGAGCCGCCAAACTGGACCCCTCAACCGTTCCCTTTCCTATACATCAAATCTACAAAGCCACAATTCATTCATTATAAACTCAGACCTCACTTCTTTTCTCTCTACCCAGTTATTCTTCTAACTAACCACGCATGGGCTCGGGTGGCTCAAATCAAACCGTTTTTAGTACAATTTCTATTTTAATAACTCAGAAGTCGAAACACCCGATGAATTCCTAGACTCCGAACCCAGTCTCACTAATTTTTTTCAACCACTTTCTCAACCTACAACTGCTCTTAAATCTACACTATCCTACACGGCATCCTCCATAATTACGGCCCTGTAAGACAAATGTTTTCAGCCTAGTACAAAGCAATCAATTGTACCAGAGTATAGTCTTCCAGACCTTTACTGAGGGGATCTGATAACCAGGGTTTGACTCTCAAAATGGTGACAAGTTGCCTAATCACCCACCTTACGAGTCCAAACCATCTTTCGGGCATAGTGCACTGTAAATGAAATCATTTAGCACAGGGCATAATATGCAATGTGTGTCACCCTCGTGCGGCACTTTCAGAAAAATTTTGGCATTGGGATATTAACAAAGAGCTTTTTAAAAGGTCGGACTGACTGTAGAAAACAGTCAGCCCAATCTAGTCTATTCAGAAATAAACAGGGGTTGTGATAGAAAAACCCATGTATGCATACCGAGGAATGAATACCAGTGGCTTCCAAGACCGATCTGGCAGCTGTCAACTACCGTCAACCGTGCAACGTCATGCAAGAATGTGAACATACCACCCGAACCATCGCACTGTTATTCTTCTAGCAATGTTTTAAAAGAACCTGCTCCAGAAAATCAAAAAACTTCTCCACTTATCCTTTACAGCAACAAACTTAAGACTTAAGAACTCTCTAAAATGCGGATGGGTGAAACCAGTTTAAAACAAGTATTTTTTGCATCCTATTAAATTCTTGATAAACTATCTCTAAAAAATTTACAACTAACCAATCGTGATACATAATTAACACTTACAATAATTTGTAAGGCTGAAAATATTTATAGTTTCAGCCAGAACTGAATATATCTAACTTAACAAACAGTTGCTCTTCCTCAGAACAGTTCTTGATATCTAGCTTCGCAAATACCAGTATACACTAGATCTATTGAGACTAGGAGATATAAGAGTATGATCAAGATTGATATTAGACTAAGAAGTTGCACGAATCTATCCAGCCGAGAAAAAGAAAGCGTGACGAACAGATGGTGTATCTTATTTGAAATTACTCATTGAGTGAGCCACCCAGGACATAAATTCAATAGCTCAATAGGATCTTGAGAAAGGTTTATAACCACTTGAAAATAGTTTGAATGCTATGAAATCACAAATAGATTCTCCAACGAACTCATTCAACTTACAACATCAAAGCTCAGAATTGCAAGAGTGTAAAAAGAATCAACAGAACTTGAAAACTGAGGAACATAAAGCTACTTGTTTCTCTCCTGAAAGGAAAAAATGATCTTGCGCACAATATTAAGGTGCTGCGGAGAACCGGTTTTGCTACTCAGATACAAGGCGAGAGCATCAATCCTGTTTTTTTTTTTGCTTTCCTTGATGAGGCAATGGTCGCCCAAACAAAAACTTACAAAAAAACTTTTCTTAAATAAATTTTCATTTTTTTGTTTTTCAAAATTTTTCTCTATACATAAGAAATTTGCGTGCTACGATCACATCAAACATCTACTTGTGTTTGGTAACATTTTTGTAGCTTTTATTGTTTTTGACTTGTAGGAGATAGCTCAATAGCTCAACTGGTCATTACGGGGGGGGGGGGGGGTTGTGGAGATTGCTCAACCGATCCCAATTTACAATTTACAACTGATCAAAAATTCAAGCAGCACCTACGATGAAAAATGAAGAAGATGAGAACAAAAACATTATTTAACTTTGTTTCAGCTCTGTCTTTTGCCTCTCCAAATATTGGCAAAAATATAATAATGCAACTCCGGCGTACTCCTCGTCACTCAATGGTGAACATCAGGAGTTGAAGCTCCTCAACATGGCTCGAAGCAGCTTCAGAAGACTGAACTGGTTTTCGTTTTACGAAAGCGACTGGAGTTATGGCAAGTATTCGATTAAAACAATTATATTTTGTATATTTCAATTAGCGTGCTACCTGTATCATTTTAAAAGAAGACTTGTAGTGAAAGGGATTATCATCCGCCACAAAATCGGAAGGTCGGTGCATTGGAAGTCCACCATTGTATATTTGATTGTGGGGCAACAATACACAGACATGAAATTAAAACCAAAGAAGTTGCTGATAATCGAAAACTTTTGGGTACAACAACGGTTAACTGATGAAAACCGACGAGAACGTACGCTAGATATGGTCCTTTACCTCCTAGATAAATCTTTTTGACTGTTATCATCCGACTTTCTAAATTATATTTTTCCCGGGTTGACCTCTATTGACCGAAAACTTTAATCATGAAATTCCATAAACCAAGTCTATGAAAAAAGCTAACCAAATCAGTTTCGTAAATTTTTGCTAGAAGGTGTATTCAAATTTTGAAAGATTTTTTCTTTTTGCTTGACATTAAAGTTAGTATAATTAAAAAAAAAACCATTTTGGCAAAACAACTATTCAAACATTTGTCGTAATTAAAAATTATTAGACTAGGGTGTCATCAAAAATTTTATAAGGTAGTTTTTAATTTTCCCTACAATTTTTTTTTGTATTTTCCTAGCGCCAAACAAGTTTTGTACTTGCACAAACTATTTCCAAAAGTTTTTTTTTGCATGCCAAGTTCAGTTCTCTATGCGCAAAACGTAGTCCTGGATACACAGAACTTAATGGTTTTTCGCGCTGGAACAGCTTATTTAATTTGTATTTAATGTTTTTGTACGCCTTGGGTAAAACATGATTAATCAAAATTTCAGATTCAATATATAAGCAACTGCTCTAAAACTTTTGCCACAATTTAGATGTTTGCTTCTTTCATTATACTGCTGTGAAAAATTTGAACACCGGTTTTAATCACGCGGTTTTAATGGATTCTAGAACATTTAAGAGTCATGCAAGATTTCTTGAAAAACCATACCAACCGGTTCTGATGAGAACCTTGTAAGAAAACGAACTCTTACGTGAAAGCGTTTGTTCGAAATTTATTTTATTATTCTTAAAAAAATCTGTAAGTTCAAATTTTTCTACCCAAGTTTTTGCTAATTTTGATAATTTATAATTTAAACATGTAAATTTTTTACTTGTATCCAGCAGATACTTAGCAAAACTTCATTTCGAACTATTTTTTCAGGACAAAAAACAAGGAAGTTTTACATTAGTGTATGGATAAAAAGATTTTTATAAGTTTATTCAAAATTTTTGAATTTTCTTGCAACTGGTTGCCTTGGAGTTAAAAAAATTTGAATGTTTCTGATCTCCAGCTTCGCAATTGTTTTTGTTCTTTTACGCCGGGCCAAGTAATTTTTTGTCGTTTTTCCGTGGGATAAAGAGTAAATAATGTATATCGGCTTCCCAAAGAACCTCTTTGGGCCAATAAAAGCAAATGGTTTTTGTTTTTGTTGTGAAGATGTTTCTCGGCAAGAACACCCCTGAAACTAGTTTTGATATACTGGCTCTTTTACGCCTTCATAATGAGTTTTCTCGAACTTCGATATTTGATGTTTCTTTCAAAAAAAAATTCATCTAGCATGGGTCACCATTTCAACCCTATAACTTCATAAATTCCAGTTAAAACGACAAAAAGGTGCAAAAAAATTCGTTCATTTGCTTTTTGAACTGGAAAAGCTTTTGTGTTCTATGTCCCATGACTTTACTTCAAAACTGGTATTCATTGTTTTTTTAAAAAAAACTTGGTACTCACATTCAAGGAAAAATTATGGACTTCCAATTGCGATTTTTTTTGCTCAAGCCTTCAACCCTAATCTTCGACTTTGCAACTATATTTCATCGATATTTCTAGCCACCAGGTAGAAAACCCGGTTTTTATTAGAACACTTTGAGTTACAAACTCTAAGGCTTCATCATGGGCTTCAACTAACTTTGAGGGGGGGGGGGGGGTTACGTGATTCGAGGGGGTCTTGGGTGACGCCAAAAAAACTGGGATCATTTTAGCTTGCTTTCTCAAAAAATTGCTGCGTGGTTTTTAAAAAGAAATGGGAGGTCTCAGAATAACAATTTGGTCGACTTAAAAAAAGCCGCCCCTCCTTGAAGAAGTCCTAGTATATCCACCTCTGGTTACATCGGAACTGCTTTAGGCTGTATAATTTGTTTGGTAACAATTTAATTTCGAAAAGTAGTACAATGCTGATTCAACTTATCCGGACAAAATCAACAAAATTTGAAGCTCCAAACGCGTTTTTCTCAAATTGAATTGAGAATACAAAATTTAAAAAGAACAAAAATGCTTAAATTTTTACCAAGTTCAATATGATGCACCTTTGTTCTTAAAGTTCGCTTCCAAAAGTTTACCTCAAAAATGGGTCATTTTGGTTTTTTTAGTTAATCAAGAATTACACTGAATAATCGAGTTAATTCAAGAATAAATTATATATACAAATAGCCTCTTATACAGCTCAAAAGAGTTCTAGAAGTGTAAAATTTCTAAAAACGCTGTATAAGAGAAGTTATATTTTTGGTTGATTGCCAAAAAGGTAATTTTAATTATATAAAAATCAAAATCTTTGGTTAAAAATGAATTTTGAACAATTTACACAAATTTCTGCAAATTTTATTCTTCTAGAACTTTGTTGAGGTGTGTAAAAGGCTTTTTGATATAATTTTTTCTTGAAGTATCTTCAGCGAAACTCTTGAGTAACTAAAAAAACCAATTGACCCATTTTTGAGGTAAACTTTTGGTTGCGAGTTTTTAGAAAAAATGCATATCAAATCTGGCGAAATTTTAAGCAACTTCTGTTCGCTTCACTTTTTGACTAATCTCAACCCAATTTGAGAAAAACGCGTTTGAAATTTCCGATATTGATTGTTTGTCCAGTTAATTTAAATCAGCACTGTATAACAGCCGTCAATTTTAAATGGTGAAATGTTTCTGTTCTCGAACCAGTTTTTGGTCAAGACTTTGCGGTCTCTTGTTAATCAAACCAATCAATCTTGAGGAGCTCATACTAAGATTCAAACACGTAGCTTTGAGTCCTGCATTGCTGAATTATTATGGTCATCGTATTCTATAGTTTGGAAGGTTTGTTACATTATTAACACTTTTGAACTTTGCAGGTTGCTGTGAATACCAGCAGGAAATGTATCGCCGATGGGGGCTGTTGAACAACCTTACCGCGGTTCAATACTTTGGACGTCTAACAGACTTCAGGAACTCTAAAAAAAACCTTATAACTCTACAGGTTGTCAATTATGAATCAAAATTCAACCCAACCTTTTTGAGTGGAACGATGTCCGTTTTCGATTTTTGAGTCGAACGATGTCCGTTTTTGATTTTTGAGTCGAACGATGCCCGATTTCGACTTTTTGAGCAACTAATTTTGAGCATTGACGCAAGTGGAACTTATGTGTTTCTTTACCTTCTTTAGAAAAAAATTCTTGTGGGTCAAAGTTGCTGAAAGTTTTTCAAGGAATCGATCAACTGTTTAAGCGTACATAACGGATAGTTTCATCATATTCTAGTTCCGCTCAAAATCAAGCAGCATGATTTTCCAGTGGTTCAACTTTTTTTTCTCAATTCGTATCTGTTTTTTCATCCCATTTAAGTTTTCATACAAAACTGTAGATAATCTGAGTATTATTTTTCAATTTTTTTTTAGTTTGATAAAAACTTATAAACTATTTCATTTATATTTTGCGAGTAAATTATTTTGATTGATGTTTGGTGTTCATAAAATTTTTTAAATAATCATTGTCCTAAGCTTATAAAACTGTAGCAAATTTCATTATAGTTAAAAAATGATCCAGCCCTTAAATTGAGATAGACTATTTGTTTAGGCAGTTTTTGACAGCACATTGTGTGGAAATGTAATAACAAGACTCTCTTTTGGAAAAGGCGAAATCAGAGTGAAAGGCACAGTTCCTAATGTACCAGTAATGGTAGCAGTTCCAGGAATCCCACTCGTCTACGTTTTCCAATGGCGCGATGTGTTCCAACGTCTGAAGTTTGCTTGGTTCAAAACTAACATCATCTGCGCAGAACAACCATGGATTTGCAGTTTAATTTAAGAATGATAATTGGTTTTTGTCAAAATCTGATTGTTTTACCATCCTTTTTGTCGAAAAAATGTGCGTTTCAGTCAGTTAGATTAAAAAAAAAACACTGGTGAGTTTTTTCACATCATAATGATTACAATGAGAAGTTTTGGTGTATGTGAAAATGTTCTCCCTAAATTGACCAAGTGAAAAATCTTCCTTATAACATTAGATGAAAATTTCAAGCGGTAAAGCTTGCGAGTACTATGCTCAAATGTGATATCCTCCGTATTTTGAACAATATCCTCGGTATTTAGCGATCGTTAATCTCCGTATACCAAGTGAACGATATCCTTCGTATTTTGATTTGATGGAGATCGTTTACTTGTTCTGGAGTTTTCATTTAAAGTGATATTTTTAACTTAATTAGAATTTTTTTCAACAACAAAAAACCTTTTTCCAACAAATTGGTATCAACTAAAAATAAAAAAAAGTTTTTGTTTTACAGTTACTTTTATTCATACAAAATAAAACATAATTAAGAAAGAAATTAAAACTGTTTCAACTCGTGAGGAACTTTTACTGTTTTTAATATTTTAACCTGGTATTTTTCCTGGTATGTTCCTAGCGTTTTTATTCTTTATTCAGTGTCTTCTAAGTGACCTTCTGGTTCGTGTTTAGTTCTATGTATTCCTGTGACCAACTGATTTTGATATCAAGTAACATTCGTTTGCCCGTTTTTTATGCTCTTGTAATGTAGCGCAATTGACTTCGGAAACCAATGCAGTCGATATTCTTGATAGCTGAGCGAGATTTTTCATACACGACGTGCAAGTTCATTTTGTCTTAGTTGAGTTTTCTAACAAAACTTCTGATTCGTTGGTAAGAAATCAGTTTGTTTGTTGAAGCGCTTATGATATGTTACTTTCGATGTGGAGAAACCCAAATTTGTTCGTGTTTCTTTCTTATGCTGCATACGCATGATTACAGTTTTTATTCCGAACTTGGGAGTCAATTGAGTTTTATATCATATTAAAACCCTTTTCAGTTGTGATTCGAACGACATTAAAAAATTGCAGAACTTTTTCATGTGTCGAGAGTAACCGGTTTCCATTTTTTGATTTTGCGTATAATTTCGAGTGAGTAAAGCAAGCGAACAGGCTTACAATAGCCTAACTATGCTTACTTTAAGCCGTGAAACTTTTTTTTTCGAGTAAAACTATTTTATGAAAATTTGTGGCGCCATTTTGGTAATAGAAAAGTTCCTCACAATCAAAAAACTTCAGCAAACAATTTGAAAAAAAAATTTGAACTTTCTGAAATGTTTTTTTTTCCGATGAATGACTATTTAATTCACATAGGTAGATAAAATAATTCTATTTTTTATCCTTTGGTTTTGAGCAGGAAGCTTATCATAATAATAATGTAAAAACCTATTTCCGTATGATTGTCAGTTTGTCTTGCTACTTACTGTCGTTTCATACAAAAAAACGTGTTACAAAGCGCCCCCTAAAAACAATTATTTGTTATATCCTTTAATATTCATCACTGTACAATATTTAGAACTAAACAATCATGATCCATTACTAAAACTTATGATAACTTGTAAAGCTGAAACTCGTAGTTTAACTTAGAAATCAGTTGCCTCCTTCTCTCCCCTAACCTCGAAAGAATACCAGTATACACTAGATTTATTGAAACTAGGAAAGTTAAGAGTAAGATAAGGATCGGTTTTGGACTAAGAAGTTACACGAAACCTAAGCTAACTTCACACGCATACGTCGCACACACTCGCGCTGACTCTCAATTCTGGCTGAAAAAACTTTCAAAAGTGGTATTTTTTTGGTAATCTTTCATTTTTTTCAGCAAGCAATCTTTGGGGGCCATCAAGGCCAATTAAACTAACATTAGATGTGTCCGTGCGACATAAAAAGGGTTTCAGAACCAATTTCATATTTTAAAAAATCAAAACGCAGATTTGTTCCTGCAGCGCAACTTTTTGGTGGGGGGGGGGGGGTGCATACCAGGGCTTAAATCGAGGTCAGGACTACAGTTTAACAAACAACGGTAATATGTATATCAAACCAATGAACTTTTTTTTAACTTGCTTATTTCCCTCAGCTTCAAAAAAAACGCTAGCTCAAAAGTTCATCTTTTGAGTTATCTAAGAAACATGGGTTGTGTCGGCTGCGTATAAAAAAATTAAGGAAAATTATTGAAATACAAAAAATTACGGTAAATTTTACCCTAATTTATCCTAAGTTTAATTGAAAAATATATCACGGCTCACTATTCACAATAATTGGGAGAGGGCTCGAGGTGAAGTGGTGCAGTGCTGTTTTTTTTTGTTTTTTTTTTAAATTTTTTTCTTGCAATTATCGATATACAGGGCATTCGTAAGGACCTTCGCCTTGTAGTTTGCTTGGGTTGAGGAGTTGGCTCAGATTGCCACGTTGCTGCAAGATTCCAGCTACCGTCTAATGTGTAATCGTCCACCGTATTACTGCAAGTCACTGACAAGGCTCAGTATTGTTCTTTCTGGCTTCGGACAATTTATCTGTTGTTTTTTTTCGCTAACTTCATTTGGGAAGTTTGTCAGACGTAGCAAATAGTTCAGTCTTATGCCATTTCACCAGAGTGTTCAATTTAACTATTTCACAAACTTTACATCAAAATAACGTTTTGCAAGTTACAAATAGTTTTTGTACCTCTGAATTACTGAGGGAAGGTGTCTATCATTCACATTTTAAGATGTGTCTGAATGATTTTTTTGCTCCTCTAAGGTGCTATATATCCCGAATCGATTTGGTAGAGTTACAAGCTTTTGATCGAGAGGCTTGGTATCAAGTTCGAAACAGTTTTTTCAATCTTAAACATCACGTTTTTTCATCACAGATCACTACAAATTGTTTTCAAATCAAGGATAGTTACGTATGCACGTGTATGCACGTATTCAATTGTGAGTAACTTGACCTCAGTTGCTAAATTTGACGTCAGTTGTCACAGTAACATACTCTTAGTTAAGATTAATTGATAGACATTGATATATTGTTTAAAAAGATTACGAATTGACAAGTTTGATGTGTTTTGCGAAAATCTCTTGGAAACTTGGCTTCAGAACTTGAGCCTGAAATTGAAAGCTAGAAAACTACGAAATTTACTTATTCTGCTCTGAAAGAGGTAGATTTTAAAAACTAATCACAACTGACATTGTAGAACGATCAAACAGTTGATCGCTTGGCAGTAAAAAGTTACAGATTTTTTGCAGTTTTTTGGCAAAACTGAATCGATTCGGATTACATATTGTTATTTGGCAATGCTATGCATTTTTAAAGCGTTTTCGTGAAGGTTATTTAATAAACATAATGGTAAGAGTATATTACGTCACTAACTGAAATAGTCGGTCTCTCTTCTTTGCAGTAACAAAATGTATTCGCTGTTTCAGAAACGGGTTGAATGGTTATTATACCAAAAAACAACTACTCTTTTCTTAAACCTGAAAAAGAAAACAAATTGTAACCAAAATATTAAGCAATTGACGTTTGAGCAAGTATAATATGGTCACTTGAGTCAGTAAGTTAATAGTTTTACTTTATCACTTACTGTTGAGTAGTTTGATCAATTCTACGGCTCTGTTTAGGAAGCTCCTTAATCTCATTATTTTTTTCCTCATTCCAAATAGCAAACAAGCTCGTATCCAACCCGATTGAAAGTAAGACAAACGGACTATCCGGTTTATTTTCTACGAGCTCATGAAATTTCCATTAGTCATACGCAGTATCATTATCATGGCGAACGAAGGGCCTAACAATCTTAAACGTCAGGCTTGACTGTAAGTTCGTAGTTTCATCCGTTAAATAATTTTGATAAAAGAAAAAATCCGAAAATTTTTGTTGTTCTCCTGGTCCACAGTTTGGTAATTATTAATCAATGGGACACATTTGTTCAGTTTTTACTGAGATGAAAAAACTTGTGATGCTTAAGTTGGAAAAACTGTTTCGAATTTGATGCCAAGCTTCTAGATCAAAAGCTTGTAACCCTGCCGAATCGATTTGGGAAAAAAACCTTCGAGGAGCAAAAAAATCACTCAGACACATCTTGAAATGTGAACGAAAGGCACCTCCCTCAGTAAGTAACTCAGAGGTATAAAAATTATTTGTAACTGGCAAAACGTTATTTTGATTTAAAATTAGCAAAATTTGCTCAACCCAAGCAGACCACAAGGCGAAGGTCCTTAGGAATGCCCTGCATACCGATCATTGCAAGAAAAAAATTGAAAAAAAACAGCACGGCAACAATTCACCTCGAAACCTCCCCCAAGTTTTGTGAATAGTGTGCAGTGATATATTTTTCAGGTGAACTTAGGATAAATTAGTGTAAAACATACCTCAACTTGTTGCATTTTAAAAAATTAAAGTTGATTTAACCTTTCTTTTTCATTTGCAGCCGACACATCCCATGTTTTTTAGATAACTCAAAAGATGCAAAAGATGAACTTTTGAGCTAGCGTTTTTTTGAAGCTGAGGGAAATGAGCCAGATAAAAAAATTCATTAATTCGATTTATAAACTATCGTTGTTTGCTAAACTGTAGTCCTGACCTTGAGTGAAGCTCTAGTATGCACAACCCCCCCAAAAAATTGCGCTGCGTGAACAAGCCTGCGCTTTGATTTTTTTTAAAATATGAAGTAGACTCTGAAATCCTTTTTATGTCGCACGGACTCCTCTACCTAATGTTAGCTTGTTTTGGCCTTGATGGCACCCCAAAGGTTGCTTGGTGAAACAAATGAAAAATTATCAAAAGAATAACATTTTTGAAAACTTTGTCAGCCAGAAATGAGAGGCAGCGCGAGTGTGTGCGACGTATGCGTGTGAAGTTAGCTTAGGTTTCGTGCAACTTCTTAATCCAAAACCGATCCTAGTCTGACTCTTATAATTACTAGTTTCATTGAATCTAGTCTATACTGGTATTCTTTCGAAGTTAGGGGAGAGAAGGAGGCAATTGATTTCTAAATTATGCTATAAGTTTCTGGCT